CGTCGCCAAGACTCTCTCGCAGGATTTGCCCGACGGGGTCAGCTCAGTCTTGATACCTGGGAGTAGGCATTGCACGTGGGGGCATTGGTTACATCTCATCAGTAGCATCGACACACTCAGCATACATCTACTAGATGATTTGCAAGCGCAGGCAAATAAGGTAGCACAAAGAGCACGGCGGCGCGCAGTGCGGGCTTCTATCCTTTCATTCCAGGATTGGATTGTGCAAGAATCTTCGCTCGGCGCTGTGCATCGTAGTTTGCGCGCTGTACCGCGTGCCTCGGAAGAGCTCGTGGTGGGCGGCAAGCGTTTGTTAAATCCTATCGACATCGTAGATGCCAAGGTAGTACAATATCATTCTCTCTGGACCCCAGACAAGTTTGACCCCCATGCTCTGAAAGAAGTTTTTGCTGTCGTTCGCGAAGCTGCTAGAGTTGAGCAAGTACCTCCTCTTAATGCCGCCGATCTTCGGAGAACTGCTCGTCGCATGAAATCAAGGGCCGGTTTGGGAATCGATCGATTGACTCCGCTGGACTTCGAGCGTCTACCCGGCAGCGCGTTAGCTGAGCTCGCTGCCGTCTTCGAGGCTATAGAAGCCACATGTACGTGGCCGTGGCACCTTCTAGCAGTTGTAGGGCGGCTGCTTCCCCCAAAATCGTCGGGCGATCGGGTCATCGGCCTCGTGGCCATGGTTACCAGGCTTTGGAGTCTCTCCAGGGACGAGTTTTCCAAGGAGTGGTCCGCGGCTACCAGCCCTGCCTGGGATGCAGCTGTCGCAGGTAATGCTCCTCTCCTCGAGGCCTACATGAAAATCCTGGATGCCGAGGTTGCTCACAAGCTTGCTGGAACCTTTGGTGCGGCCCTCCTGGATATCAGAAGCTTTTATGACAATATCAGGTTTAAGAATTTGGTCCTGGCCGCTCTCAAGCTTGGGTATCAACCAGTGTTGCTTTTTCTGCAGTTGCAACTTTGTGTAGCGCCTCGTATTCTGTCGCAACTGGGCTCTCACTCTTTGGGCTTTCAGCCCGCGCAAAGCATCATCCAAGGGCTGCGAGATGGCACCCGCTTCGCCCGTTGCCTCACCTTCTTCGTGTTTGAGCGCTTGTCTATCATGCATGTTGGAAACGGGGAACGCATATGGGTGGACGATCTGTATTTGTCTACCTCGGGATCCAGGAGCAATGTGGAGCAGGAGCTGGTCAATTGCATTGAGAATGTCGCCATCCTGTTAAACAACGGGCTTGCAATCGCCGACAAGAATGTTGTCCTATGTTCTGATCGCGGCACGGCGAAGGCTGTGGCGAAGCGTTTGAGAGCTCGCGGCATTTCTATCTCTCCTGTCTTGCAAACCTCTTCTCTACGCGTCAGCACAGCTGTTGGCAAGCGTCAGGCAAGAGCTGTTCACGAGCAACGAGTCGTCAAATCGGTTCGGCAAAACTGCAAACTCCGTCGTTTCGCCCGTGCTTCGAAAAAGTACCAAGTGACCAAACGTGTGGAGATCGTTGGACCCCAGGCTGTTGCTTCGTACGGGGTCCAGGCCTATGAGATATTCGGAGACCAACTGCTCCATGCTCGTCGTCGTCTCGCCGCCGTCGCTGGGTGTAACAAGAGAGGACGTTGTTTGACGACGGTTCTCGACTTGCGTATGCCAGGTATGGATCCAGGAATCCGCCTACCTATTTTGCAGTTGCAGCAGTGGTTTCAGGTTTGGATTCAGTCGCTATAATCTCGTGCAGGTATTTCGCAGGCGTGGCACATCGTGCTTAGGCAGCTGCGAGGAATCCCACCAGAGCAACGCACACGTCATATTCGAGGTCCTCTCTCTGCTCTGCTACATCAGTTGCTCATGCTAGGCTGGGATCCTGTGCGTGCCGACCTCTGGCATGGACCGTGTAGTGACGACGACGGAATGCCAAATTATTGTTAGAATTTCCAGTCGGGGAAGCTCGTAGGCGTGGGCAGACGAGGGGGTTGATTGAAGATTTCAGGGGCTGTCTCATAGCACGACAATGGTCCTAGGCGAGCCTGCATTTCAATGGTGCTGGCCTGGAGGGCGGCGCTGACAACTACAGCTTGCGTGCGCTCTTGGCGCAGCTGCAAGACGTCTCGCATGGCAGGCACCTTTCAGACTTGCTCTTGAGTATTTCAGCAGGTGGTTCTTGGCTTGGCTCTCGCAAGCAAGAAGCACGACTACCTGTCGACCTACAATGCCCCCGTTGCCGGGCAGCTCCCGAGACCCCCATTCATCGTCACTGGACTTGTGAGGCCAACAAGGGGCACCCTATCTATTTGGAGTCCGACGAGTTCCTCATGGAAGCCTTGGCCCATCATGAACTCGAACCGTGTTTTTGGCACCGAGGTCTCATTCGCCGTAGCTGGACCCTGGTTGAGGCCCGTGTTTACGAAGAAAGCTGGCTTACCACTGGTATACCTGGAGCTTTGTAGGCAGGCTGTCTTGGGAGCGGGACATCACAGGACCCTATCGTGATCTGTGGGGACGCCTCGGGAGGCCCAGACAGTAGGGACCCACACTTTCGGCGCGTAAGTCTGGCTATTGTTGTCGTTAACCAATTCGTTCCGTTCCTCTGCGAGCAGTCTATTGCAGGTCCGCTTACTGGCAGATCTCTGACAGTACCTCGAGGGGAGTTATTGGCTCTCTTGATATCGCTGCGATATGCCGACGGGCATCTTGTTTTCGTTTCAGACAACGAAGAAGTAGTGCGAGGTTGGTGGCAGCATGGTTGGGAGTCCCCGAGAGGGGAGCTGGCAGATCTTTGGAGGGAGATTGGAGACCTTCTCAGGCATCGTGCTCATGAGACAATCGCTGTCCTCCAGATTTCGTCGCATCTCTCACCCCAGCATGTTGCCGAGCAAAGGTACCCCAGATGGATGATTGCAAGTAACATTTATGCTGACGTGCTTGCAAATCTGGCAACGGAGCAGCACAAGCTACCCGAGCACATCCGTTTCCGTGTATTGCAGGTAGAACGGAAGGCTGCTCTGGTTCGGAAGCGTCTGATCAGATCTACTCTCGAGGCCATCAATTGCGAGCAGGCTTTGAGACATATTGAACGTATCAAGTCCGCTGCCGCCGCCGCCGCCGATCCTGTTCCCCCTCCTCCTGCTCCCCCTCCTCCCTCTCCCCCTCCCCGCGCCGCCGCCGTCGCCCTCTTCCGCTCGGAGCATGCAATGACCGACGACGGCCTGAAGTGCACGAGGTGTCGGAACTCGCGCATCAAGGCGGGACGCGCGCGGTGGCATAGCACGGCATGCCACCCCCTCCTGCCCTTGTCTGGGGACCTTCTGCAGCCTCCCGCGGGGGTACGGATACACCTGGCGGGTGGGTGGGTGCACGAGAGTCATCCTATGTGCTATAACGAAGTTTCTAAGGTGTGGATTTGCCTGTCTTGCGGGTTCTTCGGGGCCGAGCAGCTTCGGGCCCTGGCATCCGCGTGTCTTCCGTTGCAGATCACCAAGAAGAGGAGGGAATACCTTTCGACATTCGAGAGTGGACTTCCCCCCAAGTAGTCCGACTTGTTATTGCTTCGCAATCGTTCCGAATCCTTCCCCTCCTTCTCGACTTCCTCGTTTCCTCCTCCTCCACCTCCGCCTCCGCCTCCTCCTCCTCCTCCTTGTCCTCACCGTCGCCCTCATCCTCCTTTTTCTTGGCTCTCGGGACACCTCGGCGGACATTCGTGCTGAGGATCTTCGCGAAAGTTTGTTGGATCTTCTTTGGCTTCTGGAGCCCTTTCTTGGTGCGGTTGCTGTCGCGAGGAGGATTGATGAAGGGGAGGGAGGATGACTGGAGAAGGGAGGAGAGAAGAGACAAAAAGGAGGGCGAGGGAATGAGGGAAGAATCGGGACGGATATGGGGAAAAACCGAAAGGAGACCCGCTGGGCGACTCCAAATTCCTCCTTCTGCGGTCCCCCCTCGTCCCGCAATGTATCTATCTAGCGACCTCGCTATCTTTCATCGATATCAATGTCCACCGTTCGGTCTCACGACTGACCGCTACCACGAACTATTTCCGCAACTGTCCCCTTTTCTGTCGGTGTGACCCTTCCTCGGTGTCACGCTCTACCTTCCGATATCTCCTCGGAAGGCATCAAAACCGAGCTCGCGCCACACGCACTGTCACTACCTGCCAGCCTCACGATGCATCGATCGACGCACACGGACCAACCGTGAGAGACACCCACACCCCTCGTGCTGCCAGCAGGAACGCCGCGCCAGGCACGAAACGGGGGCCTTCCTGGCCACCGCGAGCGCCTCGGCCACGAGCAAGCCCACCGACCCGGATCTCGCAAAGAGGGGCCCGCCGACCGGGGGCCCTCCCGAGCCCAGGGTGATCATCACCTCGGCGTCCGGACGGCAGACTGCGACAAGCCCTGGGGGGCACAATTTGAGGCACATGGTCATGAGAGGCTAGATCGGTGCTCGCGGGCGGCGACGGCGACAGTTCCCACAGGAGCACTTTAGAGGCATTCCAGTCGGGGCCCATCGGAAGGCCGCAAGGTAGGGACGCAAGGCCGTCGGACCTTCAAGTTGCAATGACTGGCCAGCAATATTGGTTGGCCAAAACAAAAGAACACCTTACGAGGACGAACAACATCCTCAGCAAAGCACCTCATCCTTCGTGAGGGGTCCAATTGCTCTTCATAGCACGAAGTAGACTTCCAAAAGCAAACGCGGCCTGTATTTCCCACCGAGCATCCAACTGCCGATCAGCTTCCGCGTGCAATTCGCGCCCGGGGTGAGACCACACCTCCACTAGAACAACAAACTTTACTGCCTAGAAAGCCAGACGTGCCACGATGCGCGCGCCCGCGGCTCGTGGCGCCAGACGCTTTGCGTAGCCGCGAGTCGGAACGTGAAACTATCATGCCTTGACTACTACTATGCTGCCGGAGCGAACAATCAGAGGATGCTGCCTACAATCAGAATCCCAAACCGCGCGGCCCAAGCAGAATTAAAGGGTACTGGGTGCTCCGAGCGCCAACTACGCCTCCCAGTTCGCCAACTGGAGTGGATCTCCTGATGCGGTCGTGCCCGCGTCCTTAGAGGCCTTCCATATGGTGTCGGAATAGATGGGGTCGGAGGACTGCGCCGCATCGTCGATACATCGGCAACGCCGGCGATGCATCGGCGACGTCGGTGTGAAGAAAATGGGGCTCCACATCGAGCCGCATCGCCGATGCATCGGCGACGCAGCGCCATCTTCCGACCCCATCTGCTCGGACCTCATCTGGGAGCCCTACGAAGTCGACCCGATACGCAACACGCAACCAGTAGCGTGTTGACACGGAGCTCAACACGTGCAGCCGAGCTGCTGAAACAAGGCACGCTGAATAAGGAACGAAGCCGTTTTTGGTACCACAACAGCCTGGGCATGCGAGGAGGGCTACAGGCACAACCACGGAATGACCCAAAGAACAGCGAGCCCCTTCCGGACCCAAAGCGGTCCTGATTTCAGCGTGGTGACTGTAGGCTGAATACGTAGGTCTGGCGCGAGACGTTCGCCAAAACGTGGGCCAGCACGTGCAGAGCCAACACGCAGCGTGCTGACGCGGACGTTTTGAGCACGATACGTGTTGCGTTCCAGCGCGGGCGTAGCAGGGCAGCTGAAGAGCCCTAGTTAGGGCTCTCCTGGAGTCCTGGAAGCGTCCTCCTGGAGCCCTCCTGGAGTCCTGGAAGAGTCCTCCTGGAGTCCTCCTGGAGCCCTCCTGGAGCCCTGGAGTCCTCCTGGAGTCCTCCTGGAGCCCTGGAGCGTTGCGTCCCCACGAGGAGCCCTGGAGTCCTCCTGCTCGCCCAGGCTCAGGCTCGAGCCCTCGCCGCCGCGAGGCGTGCTCGGCTCGGAGCCCGACCCGAGGCCCCCGCCCTCCTCGGGCTCTCCGGCGCGCTCCTCCTCGGCGCCGCGCCGCTGCGCCGCTGCCTCGGCCTCGCGCCCTCCGCTCGGGCCGCCGTCTCCGCCGGCGCCGTCCTCAGAGGAAGGAAAAAACGGCAGAGACATAAACTCGTGGCGCTCCGCGCGGAATTCTTGGGTCTGAGCTGGGCCCCCCTTCCCTGGCGCGCGGGGCGCGCCGGGGGCGGCGCCAGAGGCGCCGCCGGGGGGGCCCAGCGCGGATCCAAGAAATCCGCCCGGAGCGCCAACAGTTTACATCTATGTCGTTTTTGATTCCTCGTCGTGCGCAGGAGCGAATACCCAGGCAGGAGTGTCGGCCTCCAGGGGCCGGGGGAACGCCAAGCCTGAGCGTGCAGGCCAGAGCCTGGGGGGCCCCGTGTGGGCCCCGCACCGGAGGTCACTCTGGCGAAGGGTCACTCTGACGCCGCCCTCCTCCTCCTCCTCCGCATCCTCCTCCTCCTCCTCCTCCTCCTCCTCCTCCTCCAAAGGCCGACGTCCCGCCGCGGCGCCGCGGCACTCTGGGCCTGCTGGTGGGCCCTCCGGTGGCGGTCGAAGCGCGCCCTCCGGAAGCCAACGCGGTAGGCCTCGGCCAGGGGCTGCCGCGAGGCGGCGCGGGGCTCCGGCGGGGCCGGCTCGGCTTGCGCTGGGGAGGCGCGCTCCTCCTCCGCCTCCTTCAGGGAACAACGAGCGGCATAAGCACAAGCTTTCGGAGGTCCGCGCGCATTCCCTGGATCGGCGCTGGACCGCTCTCCCTGGCGCGCGGAGAGCGTCAGGGGCGGCGCCGGAGGCGCCGCCAGAAGGCCCCAGTGCCGACCCAAGAGATCGGCGCGGAGCTCCGATGTACTGCTTGTGTAATTGCTGGTTCTCAAATTCTCCTCCTCTTCGTTCTCCTGCAACGTCGGCATGTCCTCCACGTTGGCCTTCGTGACCTTCCATATCTGCCGGAAGTCCTGGTAGCACTTCCTGTTCTGTGCGGCGCTCGTGGAGGGCGACTCGGGCTGCGAGCCCCAGGACGAGCCGCTGTCCGAGCTGGAATCCTCCGAGCCCGAGTCCGACCTCGAGGCGCGCATGTCCGACATGTCCAGGTGCAGCCCTAACAACTCTTCCGAGTGCAGGTTGTTGGCCGCCAGAAAGGACCTACGCCTGCTTAGCTGCTTGCAGACTTCGTCTACCAGCTCCTTGGTCGTCTCCATGGAGGCCGCCTTGAGGTCCCGTCGGAAGCGCTCGACAGCAGTGAGCTTGAAGGTGGTCAGGCTGCACCGCAGCATCTTGTCCATGGTCTTCTGTCGGCTGAGCCACTTACCAAAAGCGATCACGAAATCGGACAAGATGAACACTTTTGCATCCTCGTTGTAGATTCCCTGCGAGCCGATGTCACGCCTCGAGCACCCGCCCTCGCTCTCGTTGCGCCTGCTGCGGACCTTCTGGAGGATGTGGTAGATCTGCGTCATGTCGTGTGTACTCGCGTTCACGTACAGCTCTCGGCACATCCTGCTGAAAATGCTGGAGTCCTGGTGCACGTTCATGTGGCCGCTGGGGCAACTCTTATCGAAGAGTTCCTGGATCTCCTCGACGTCGAGCAGCGTCAACTTGCCGTCGCTGGCCATGTTCATGAGGGCGCGCTCTGTCCAGAGGGCATCCACGTCTCCATTGATGCCCACGGACGTGCAGATCTTGTCCGAGTCCCATCCCTTGAGATTTTGGGTGAGGCTCTTGGCGATCTTGCGCAATGCCTCTGTTTGATCGCGAATCCGCTGCTCCTCCTTGCGCCGCTTCTCCGCAACAGGGTGCGGAACATCGCACGCTTCCCAGACCCCCTGCTCGAACGAGGTCAGCATGCTTCGCCGCAGCTCCTGCGCCAGGGCCTTGACCTGGTGCGTTATGACCTGCGCTCTCCCCATCCTGCGCCCTGCGAGGTCCAGGACCTCAAGGTCTTCCAGAAACAGGCTTCTGCGGCGCGACCACTTGGAGCGCCTCGAGGCCCCTGAGGGCGAGGCCTCTCGGCTAGCACGCAAGAATGACCCTGGACCTCTGGTGCGCGGCTTCTCGGGGCCGCGGGGTGGCCAAACCCAGGCGCGCAAGACGGCTGCTGCCGCCTCGCGTTGAGTCGCTTGGGGGCCCACCCGTGCCCGCACCCGGGGTCAGTCTGGCGAAGGGTCGCTCCTACGTCCAGTCGAGCCTCGGACAGGAGGCTGTTGCTGCCGATGCTGGAGCGCAGCCGCCCCGCCGCGGAGCAGGAGGAGGCCTCGCCGAGGGAGCCCCGCCGCCCCGCCGCTGGGCAGCCAGAGGCCCCGCCTTGCGGGAACGGGCAGCGGCATGCGGTCAGGCACCTCCTCGGAACAGCGTGCCGCGGCGGCGGCCCCGGCGGCACGCCGTGCCCTGCGAGCGGATAGCGTGTCGCTCAGCTCCGCGGGGCGGGCGGATCGGAAAGGCTCGGGACGTTGACGCCTGGGGACTGGGATGTGGATAGCGTGTCGCGGCGAAGCGTGGGGCCCAGAACCGGTGTCGCGACACGCCAGGCCAAAGTTCCTGACCGTAGCCATCAACTTTCGGAGGTCCTCGCGGATTTCTTGGATCGGCGCTGGACTCTCCTCCCTGGCGCGCTCCGCGCGCCAGGGGCGGCCTCCATCGCCGATCCAAGACATCCGCGCAGAGCTCCGACGTTTTCGGGCGGGCGGTAATGGGGGGTGACCGACATGGGGGGTGAAGAGAAGGGCCCCAACATGGCCCCTTTGGGGTCCTTTTGGCCCCCTGCCAGCTCCAAAGGGAGCCCGAAAGGGCCCCTTCAGGGCTCTCTCCGTCACCCCCCATTTCGGCCACCCCCCCATTACCCACCCGCCCGACCTTGCATGTTTATGCCATTATCGGTTGTTCCAGGACACCTGGGCTCGGGGGCCCCAAGAGCTCCAACGGCGCGAAGCCGTCGGAGGGCCGCCGGGCCCGGCCGCCGGCGCTCGCGGCGGGCGCGGCCCGGCGATGGGCGGGGCGCGCGCTGCCCCGCCCAGCGGCAGCGGCGGGTGCCTGGGCCGCTGGGGCCGCCGTGCACGCGGGGCCCGCGCCGCAGGGCTGCCACGGGCCAGCCAGCGCAGCGCCTGCGCAGCACCCCTCGTCGTCCTGCTTCTGGCCGTCCAGCTCCAGCGCGGGCGGCCGTCTCCTCAGCGCGAGGGCCACGCTCGCGGCGTCCAGGCAGGTGCGGCGGCCTCCGGCGGGCCCCGAGGCCGGGCGGGCCGGCCGCGGCCACGTCCCTCCCGCAGGCCACGGGTCCGGGCAGGGGCTCCGCAGGGCGCGGACCAGCTCGCTGCTGCGGCGCACCTCGGGCGTCGTGCGCGCGGTGCTTGGGGCGCCGGTGCCCTCGTGCTCGGGGCTCGTGCGCGTGGTGCCCGTGTAGCGGGTGGAGGCGGAGTCGCACCGCGCGGAGACGGGCCTGCGCTCGCCACCGTCCTGGGCGGCGCCCCTGCGCCGCGCGCTGCGGCTGCTGGAAGCGCTGCGCAGCTGGCGGGGCGCCGCGGGCGCCGGGGCCGCTGGGGGGGCCGCGTGCCGCGGCGCGGCAGCCGGCCCGCTGCGCGCCAGCCCGGCGTTCGCCAAGCTATGCGCGGCCCTGGCGCCGCAGCCTCTGCTGGGGCAGCGCGCCGCCCGAGCGGCGGGGGCGGCGGCCATGGCATTGGCGCTGGGAGCCTTCGGCGGCCTTGCGGCGCCCGTGCGGGGGGCGCGAAGCGGGGCCCCTGCCACCGCTTGAGCCGAGAGGCAACGGGCAGAGACAAACGCGGTGAGCGTGCGTGGGGGGGCGATGCAGTGAGCAGGCCAGCCCTTGTCCGAGCTATCTTTGCTCCCAATTCAGAGGCTGGTTCGCCGCACTGTGACTGTGACCCCGAGGGGGCCCTGAGCCAGAATGCGAATGTGGCGCTGTCAATGGTGGTTACGATGCGGTCTCAATTGTGCTTGACACACACACACGAGTTAACACGGGATGTGTAACCTTGCATGTAAAAAGCTGTGTTAGCTGCACGGCGCCACAGCCCAAGGCGAAGTCAAGCGACTGCGAAAGCTAGAGCCTAGAGCCAAATATCAACCCAAGTGTACAAGTAACCCATATCAAGCAAGGCGAACTTCTACTAACACTACGGCAACACACAACTGATCGAAACTCAGCTGGGGCGCATGGGCAATGCTCGCGCGGCACCAGCGGCGCTGGCCTAGATGAGCCCGCGAGGTCGCAGGGCGCCTTGGATTAAAGTTCGATCTGTTTTCGCTGGCGTGTCCTGGAGGCCCAGGGATATCTCCAGGATCGCCTTTCATCCAGAGTAATTTTGTAACGGTCCTGGGGCCCTGAGGGCCCCCCAAAGCCATACCCCTATATAGTACGCATCTATACATACACATGCATGCATGCATACGTGTCAGCCAGCGTGGGCCCTAAACAGTGCGTCATTGCACTGTGGGAGCAGACTATAGGATGTAAACTATGTGGTGGAAGCGTAAGCTATGTGGTGAGAGCTGATGAGGTAGCACCTATGCTGCGTAACCTATATGATGTAAGCTATGCCATGTAAGTCGCGATCATTCGACCACATCTACTCGGACCCCATCTGGGAGGCCTAGATGTGGCCCGTGGACAGCCCAGGGGGCCCTAAATCGCAGAAAAAACCTCAGGACCCGTTTGCTTCATGGTGAGCGGTACCTCAACAAATGGCGGGCTCCTGAAACCCTGCACCCAGACCCTAACCGCTCTCCATCTGTGGAATCGCCGTCGTTTTGCTTCCGCCGCCTTCCGCTGGAGAAGAGATGCCAATCCTGTCGGACCTCGCGAGGCAGCTGCTTGGAGGACAGCACAACGGTATAAACATAAGCTGTCGACGGTCCCTGCGGATTTCTTGGATCGGCGCTGGACCTCCCTCCTTGGCGCGCAGAGCGCGCCATGGGCGGCGCCAGGAGCGCCGCCAGGGGGGCCCTGTGCCAAAAGCTTATGTTTATCAGATCTTTCCTAGCTTATGGAACGCCTCGGATCGTGAGGATCCCGAGGGTCCCCTGTCGGTATGTCGAACCTGGGGTCCTGAGGGATGGGGTGGGTCCTGAAGACGAGGTCCTCAGACAACGTAAATCCACACTTTGATCCCTTCATCTTCATATCCTTAGGTCCCCATCCCTCCAGACCCCGTCTTTGAACTGCTGGTCCCGGACTCCGGACGGCGTTGGGGGTCCCAAAGGTCCATCACCGCGTGGTCTTGGGACCTCCGAGGCCCCTATCGCCGGGGACATCCTCAGAAAACGACCTCGAAGCCCCGCGTCGCCCTCGTGCTGTGGCACGCGTGCACATCAGTGAAACGGTGCCTTTATGACATATCGGTTCCTGGAAATGAATGGATATCAATATTGCAGCTAGAACCGTGAATTTCACGGACGCAGCAGCCATGAGCCGATGTTCGGTTCAGAAATCTTGGACCCCAGAATGAACTTTTCGGGGATCTTCTGACCCAGGTCAATCGCGCCCCTGGCTCCGCAGGATCCTGCAGAATGAAGGCGCGCTGGCTGGCCCCTGCTTGCATTGACCCCCGTCTCTTGAGCCCCGAACTTTCAAGTCTCGGCGCCCGCCGCCTCGTGGCACACGCCCCTGGACCTTGCCTCCACTGCCGGGGAGGGGGGGGCGGCGCGCTCTACCGCGCCGCGGCCAACAGCGGGGCGCGGTCACCGCCGGGGGAGGAGGACGGGAGCACGATGGGGGAGGACGGGAGGGAGGAGCAGGAGCAGGAGGAGCAGGAGCAGGAGGAGCAGGAGGAGGAGGAGGGGGAGGAGGAGGAGGAGAAGAGGAGGAAAAGAGGAGGAGAACAGGAGGAGGAGAAAAAGAGGAGAAGGAGGAGGAGGAGGAGGAGGAGGAGGAAAAGAGGAGAAAAAGAGGAGGAGAAAAAGAGGAGGAGAAAAAGAGGAGGAGGAGAAGAGGAGGAGGAGAAGAGGAGGAGGAAAAGAGGAGGAGAAGGAAAAGAAGAGGAGGAGGAGGCGAAGGAGGAGGAGGAGGAGCAGAAGCCGAGAGGCAACAGGGTTCGGTCCGCCCCGAGGGCGGAGGCGCTCACAAGCCCCCTACCCCCAGGGCCCAGACCTTGAAGGGCGGGGCCCGAAGGCGTCCGCACTGCAAGGTCCAGGCCTAGGGGGAAGAGGCCTGTGAAGGTTGGGGAAAGCGGCCGCCTCGGCCGCGGGCAGCGGGAGCACGGGGCCCGCGGCAGGCCCGTGCGCACCAGCGCCAGGGAGGCCAGGACGAGGAAGGGTCCGCCCTGCATTCCCAGCGTGACGGCACGGCGCAGCGCCACGTCGTGGCAGGTGCCGAAAAAATAGGCCGAGCACGTTGACGCTGGTCAAGCACCAGCATAATAGTGCACTTCACCACTCGCGCGTCGCAAACGGGCGAAAACGCAGACACTGGGATGCTCTCGCCTTGCGAAACCACATCAAGCCTGGCGTCGGGGACTGAGATGCTCTCTTCGCGGAACTGCATCGAGACCGGCCCCAAGGACTGGAATGCACTTCCACTGAAGTTCGCATCGGGCCCAACCCCATCTTCACAACCACCATTGATGCCGTCGCCAATGGAGGAAGAGGAGGAGGAGGAGGAGGAGGAGGAGGAGGAGGAGGAGGAGGAGGAGGAGGAGGAGGAGGAGGAGGAGGAGGAGGAAGGGGAGGAGGAGGGTGAGGTGGAGGAGAAGGAGAAGGAGGAGGACGAGGAGGGGGAGGAGGAGGAGGAAGAGCAGGGTGAGGAGGAGGAGGAGGAGAAGGAGGAGGAGGAGGTGAAGGTAGAGGAGGAGGAGGAGGACCAATGTAAACCCAAGAGCCATCAACGATGTTTGAATACACCATCCCTCCAAGCTTCCTGTGCATAGGCCCAATACAACGGTTCATTTCCATTAAGTGATCTGCCTCGTTGGAAGACAAACATTTGAAGACCCCTGTTTGAAGACCCGGAATAATTCCAAAACATTGTTCTCCTGATTCCAGCGCCACGGATCAACTTGACTGTTGCGTCTTGACGATCCTGGATCGTGTCAAAACGCCGTTCTTGGGATTTCAACACCGCGAATCAACGTAACTGTTGCGCCCTCAGAATCCGGAATCTTTCCAAAACGCAGATTCTGGCACGTTGATCATGGGAATCCGTGAGACTCTTGCAAATCTTAAAAACGAATGTGCGCGGCGCTAATGCGAGAGCCACATTTTGAAAACGACCCGCCCTGAATTCGTGAAACCCTTGCAAACTTTTAAAACGAATGTGCGCGACACTAAAGCGAGAACCAACATTTGAAAACGACCCGCCATCAATCCGTGAAGCTCTTGTGCACACTTTTCAAACGAATGTGCGCGACGCTGAAGCGAGAGCCACGTTTTGAAAACGGGTCATCCTCAATCTGGGCAACTCTGGCATTTTTTTCGAATGTGCGCGGCGCTATGGCAAGAACCACAATTTGACAACCGCCCGGCCTCCATCTGTGAAGCGGTTGCTAATTTTAGGCGTCAGGGTCATAAGTGGTGAGGAATATTCAGGCGAAGCGCACGGCCCGCCCTAAAAACTTGCCTCGGGGTGCGACAAGGAGAAGTTATCTATAAGGAAAGGGAACGGAGGAGGAGCAGGAGGAGGAGGAGGAGGACCAGTGTAAACCCAAGAGCCATCAACGATGTTGGAATACACCCTCCCTCCAAGCTTCCTGTTCATAGGCCAAATACAACGGTTCATTTCCATTGAGGAATCTGCCTCGTTGGAGGACAACCGTTGGAAAACCCGGAAGCATGCCAAAACATTGTTCTCGGGATCCCAACGCCACGGATCAACTTGACCGTTGCGTCTTGACGATCCTGGATCGTGCAAGAACGCCATTCTTAGGATTCCAACACCGCGAATCAACGTAACTGTTGCGCCCTCAGAATCCTGAATCTTCCCAAAAACACAAATTCTGGTACCTTGATCATGGGAACTCGTGACTCTTGCAAACTTTTAAAACGAATGTGCGCGACACTAAAGCGAGAACCAACATTTGAAAACGACCCGCCCTGAATTCGTGAAGCCCTTGCAAACTTGTAAAACGAATGTGCGCGGCGCTAAGGCGAGAACTACATGTTGAAAAGGGGTTACCCTCAATCCGTGCGGCTCTTGCAAACTTTAAAACGAACGTGCGCGACGCTGAAGCGAGAGCCACATTTTGAAAACGGGTTATCGTGAAGCCGTGCAATTCCTGCATGTTTGTCGAACGAATGTGCGCGGCGCTAAGGCGGGAGCCCCATTTTGAGAGCCACCCGCCCTCCACCTGTGAAGCTGTTGCCAATTCTTTAAGCTTCAGAATCGTAAGAGGTCAGGAGTGAAGTCTCGGGCGAAACGCCTGGCCCGCCCTAAAAACTGGCCTCGGGGTGCGACGGGGAAAACTTATTTCTAAGGAGAAGGGGAGGAGGAGGAGGAGGAGGAGGAGGAGGAGGAGGAGGAGGAGGAGGAGGAGGAGGAGGGGGGGAAGAGGAGGAGGCAAGCGTAAAAAGAGAGAAAGAGTCCTCGTTCTACCTTGCGCGGGCGTGGCGCCTGCGCGTCGGGGATCCTCCGGACAGGTCAGCCCGAGGTCCCGCAACGCGGCGCGGGTGGCATCGAGGTTCGCCCGGGGCTGTGCAGGGAACTCGGGGGAGGGGCGGCGGAGGGAATGGCAGATGCGAAAAGCAAAATGCACTTCCTCGAGGACATGGGCAGCGCGCGAACCATGGCCCCCGAGGCGGCCTAAAGGTTTAAGGCGAGAGGGGGCGGTGGCGGAGGATGGGGGAGATGGGCCAGACTAGCCCGAGCTAGGACACATCGTGTCTAACATTGTCGGGCTCCTTCTCGCAACCGGAAAAACAACCTAGCTTACTTTCGGGGTTCAGGATCGTGCGGCTCGGCAACCATACGTCCCAAACAGTGTGGTGCCGCGCCAAGGCCCAGGATGGGGGGGGCCAAGGACAGAGCCTCGAACGCATGACCGACATCAACGGAAAATACCGCGGGCGCGCTCAGGACACATTTTCCAACGTCGTCTCTGACAGAGATTCGCGAGGGTTAAGAGCTCCGAGCGAAGGCATGCTTTGCAGCCCGCTGCGGCTTGCACGGCCGGGATCTTGCATGCCCTTGCACAGCTCGGACGGGGCACCTGTCGGCGTCAACTATGTGCTCGACGCGCGATTTCGATTGCCAGCGCCTGGGAGAAAGTTGTCCAGCCAGAAGCATAGACAGTCGCAAGTCACCCGTGTGCGCCGGCGAATCACCTTGGCTGCGCAGCCATCCATGCACGTGAACATCACCAGGCAACGTGTGGATAGCAGGTCGCGTCAGCGCAGCTGCGCTGATTGTCTCCGGCGGGTAGACTCGCGGGTCATGATGGGCGGCGACGTGCCGCAAGTCACCTTCCTGAAAGGCGCCGAGGGGGAATCTGCGGACTTGCGCAAGCCCGCCGGGTTTGGACTGCTCGACAGACTGAAGAAGCGGAATCTATTGCATCGTGCAGCTCAGGACGGACGCGCACTTCGAGCTGTGCGACATTCTGGAAGATGAGGCGGCGGTGCAATCATTGCCCACCGCCTTACATCTCGCGCGGTACTTCTGAACAGGAGTGTTCCGGGAATCGTGGTCCGACGCGGCGATGGAACAAGTTGCCCTCGATGCGAAGCGCGCTCTAAGCTGGGGTGGCAATCTCGAGACACTAGCGGATCTTGTCCTCGAGCTCCACAGAAGAAGGGCCCGAACCAGGAACATTTGCGCGTGCTCTTGGCTTGGATTTCAGGTGCGCGGTCTTGTCGACAAGATGCATGGCCCGACGCAGTTGGGTGGGCTGTCGGAGGGCGCGGAGAGCGCCGCCTAAATCGTCGGTGCAGGCCCTATTGTTTCCCTGCTTCCTAGACTCGAAGCGTCGATGTAGATCAGATAGCGCGGGCGGCAGAACCGCGGCAAACGGAGATCTGGGGAGCGCCCCCCCCCTGGATAATCCGGGATCGAATGCAGAATGCGCGTCGTGTGGCCCCCTGGACCGAGCGAGGTCACTCCCCCGCCGCCCCGTGTATGTGGCCGCAAATTTGAACAGTCCCGTCGGGCATCGCATGCAAGCGAGGCTCGGGGGTGCGAGCTCCCGCGACAAACTCGGGGAGGCGTGGCCCGTCGTCGACGGCGTATAACATCGGGATTTTGCCATGGGCATCAGGCCGCGCAGAGTGGTCGCGGGAGACAACTTCAACCTCCGAGACATTCGTGCACAGTTTCCCCCGCTCATGGACCCGCGCTGATCCCCGGGAACAAACCGATCCAGAGGCCGCCGAACCGAATGCAGCCTGATGCTGGCGCTCCGAATCTTCAGGGGCCCTGGCCGAGTTCGCGCCAACAGAATGATATTTCAACTCCCCCCGGAAAAGGAGCACCCGTTGCGCGGCGCCCGCGTTGCCGCCGAGCGCCCGCCACGGGGCATCGCGCTGCGAGAGAAGTCCAGGAGGATGTGCGAGCCGCGCTGCGCAGCGTGGCCGATCGCACCCAGGTGCAGGATCACTAGGCCGGAGTGCATCTTTCTCAAGCGTCGCAACCGAAGGCGGCAGGACAACAAACGAAAGTCACGAGGCGGTCGACGGGCGCAAAGGCAGACGCAGCAAGCCGCGGCTTCCGCGAGAACGCGGGCCCCCAGTGACTAGTTGATGCGCGAGCGCGATCTGGGCGCGACGCCGTCGTCTCCCCCCCGCCATCGCAGCCCGCAAGGCCAACCTCCTCGAAACTGGGCCCAGCGCCGAGCGCGAGGTTCAAGGGGCTGAAGTTGCTGTCGAAGGCCAGTGCGGGGGCCGATTTCGCTGGTCTGACTGATCCTATTCTCCATGTCGGTGCGAGCGAGATCAGCTGCGCGCAGTTTCGCGTCCTCGGTCCATTGCTGGGGCGAGGCCAGGAGCAGGCGCGCCCGGCGGTCGCGAAACTCAGAAAACAAATCGCCGTCGCATGCGAGGCGAGCAACAGTTCAACGCGCGGACTGTCCTGGCGCCGCGCAGCGCGAAACAATTGCGCAGGCGAGCGGCGGCGGGGCGCGCGGGCCTCTCGGGCGCGTGAATGCCGGGAGTTTGCGGGCGATCTTGCCGCCCCCACCGCGCTGGGCATCTGCGCGTCTCCAGCTTTTCATGCGGGCGCGTTCTCTAAGGCGACCCCGCTCGCGCTCCGCGTGCTTGCCCAGGACAGCCGTCGAGATGAATGATTTCGCAATCTGTTCGGGGGTGGGCCAAGAGCTGGGATCCTACGGCGCCCAAGGAGCAACCGAATTGCCGGGGCAGCGCGATCGCTAACCTCGGACTTCGAGAGGCTCTCAGGGGCGCCCCCGACCCCGAGCAGAAGCGTTGGCCCGCGCAATCACCCGGCCGGGCCATGAACGCCAGAGGCGATCGGTAGCGGCAGCGGCGTCCACCTGCATGTTAGATGTTGCAGCTTGCGACATCTCGATTGAACTGTCAATCGTGGCGGGCCATCTCGGAGCCCGAGCGGGCGGCGGGCGGGGGGCATTAATTTCTCTGGGCCCCTGGTGGATGCGCAAAAACTCAATTATCCCTTGCTCGCGGAAGTGCGCTCTCGCGTCGCAGCCCTTGAGCGG